AGTCAACAATGTACATAGAGCTATGTTATTTTTAATTATGCAGTTTCGTTGTTCACAGATTGTTAAAGTAAGCATTTCCTAAGAAAAATACAGTATGTGGGCTGCTATTGCTGAACTCCTGAAAATGTATTTTTCATGCATGCTGTACTGACCCTCTGGATGTAATACTTTCTGAGTCATTGATCCCCAGCAAGTATGCATCCTGGGAGTCAGAGTCAGCAGTCTAGATCTGCATACTTTTTCTGGGTTAGTGACTCAAAGTATTGATGCCAGAGGGTAAGCATAAGTCAGTCAACTAGCATTTGAAAAATGTTATAATAAGTAAGCAGCGGCAGCTTCTACGTTTCTCCTGCATAGGTTCACTTAACTAAAATTAATCTCTAGACCCTTTTAAAAAAGATAAAACCCCTAATAACAAATTAAAACATAAATCTAAACTGAAGATCAAATTTCTTACCTGGAAAGGCAGTCACAGCCTGATCCTTCCTTCTTCTGGTCTGCAAAATATAAAATATACAGTTAGGTCCATATATATTTGGACACAGGCACAATTTTAGTTTTTTTCAGGAATTTACTAAAACATATTCAAGCTATAGTTACAGTCAGGTCCATAAATATTGGGACATCAACACAATTCTAACATTTGTGGCTGTATACAGCACCACAGTGGATTTGAAATGAAATGAACAAGATGTGCTTTAACTGCAGACTGTCAGCTTTAATTTGAGGGTATTTACATGCAAATCAGGTGAACGGTGTAGGAATTACAACAGTTTGCATATATGCCTCCCACTTGTTAAGGGACCAAAAGTAATGGGACAGAATAATAATCATAAATCAAACTTTCACTTTTTAATTCTTGGTTGCAAATCCTTTGCAGTCAATTACAGCCTGAAGTCTGGAACGCATAGACATCACCAGACGCTGGGTTTCATCCCTGGTGATGTTCTACCAGGCCTCTACTGCAACTGTCTTCAGTTCCTGCTTGTTCTTGGGGCATTTTCTCTTCAGTTTTTTGTCTTCAGCAAGTGAAATTCATGCTCAATAGGATTCAGGTCAGGTGATTGACTTGGCCATTGCATAACATTCCACTTCTTTCCCTTAAAAAACTCTTTGGTTGCTTTTGCAGTATGCTTTGGGTCATTGTCCATCTGCACTGTGAAGTGGCGTCCAATGAGTTCTGAAGCATTTGGTTGAATATGAGCAGATAATATTGCCCGAAACACTTCAGAATTCATCCTGCTGCTTTTGTCAGCAGTCACATCATCAATAAATACAAGAGAACCAGTTCTTTTGGCAGCCATACATGCCCACGCCATGACACTACCACCACCATGCTTCACTGATGAGGTGGTATGCTTAGGATCATGAGCAGTTCCTTTCCTTCTCCATACTCTTCTCTTCCCATCACTCTGGTACAAGTTGATCTTGGTCTCATCTGTCCATAGGATGTTGTTCCAGAACTGTAAAGGCTTTTTTAGATGTCGTTTGGCAAACTCTAATCTGGCCTTCCTGTTTTTGAGGCTCACCAATGGTTTACATCTTGTGGTGAACCCTCTGTATTCACTTTGGTGAAGTCTTCTCTTGATTGTTGACTTTGACACACATACACCTACCTCCTGGAGAGTGTTCTTGATCTGGCCAACTGTTGTGAAGGGTGTTTTCTTCACCAGGGAAAGAATTCTTCGGTCATCCACCACAGTTGTTTTCCATGGTCTTCTGGGTCTTTTGGTGTTGTTGAGCTCACCGGTGCGTTCCTTTTTTTTTAAAGAATGTTCCAAACAGTTGTTTTAGCCATGCCTAATGTTTTTTCTATCTCTCTGATGGGTTTGTTTTGTTTTTTTCAGCTTAATGATGGCTTGCTTCACTGATAGTGACAGCTCTTTGGATCTCATCTTGAGAGTTGACAGCAACAGATTCCAAATGCAAATAGCACACTTGAAATGAACTCTGGACCTTTTATCTGCTCATTGTAATTGGGATAATGAGGAAATAACACACACCTGGCCATGGAACAGCTGAGAAGCCAATTGTCCCATTACTTTTGGTCCCTTACCAAGTGGGAGGCACATATACAAACTGTTGTAATTCCTACACCGTTCACCTGATTTGGATGTAAATACCCTCAAATTAAAGCTGACAGTCTGCAGTTAAAGCACATCTTGTTTGGTTCATTTCAACACCATTGTGGTGGTGTATAGAGCCAAAAATGGTAGAATTGTGTTGATGTCCCAATATTTATGGACCTGACTGTATGTAATGGATATGGGCTGAAAGTGCACACTCTCAGGATTAATTTGAGGGTATGTACATACAAATTGGAGGAGGGGTTTAGGAATTACAGCTCTTAAGAGTAGCCATCTCCCCTTTTTCAAGGGACCAAAAGTAATTGAACAATTAAATCAAAAGCTGTTTCATGGCCAGGTGTGGGCTACTCCTTTATTATTTATTCATCAATTAAGCAGGTAAAAGGTCTGGAGTTGATTCTAAGTGTGGTATTTGCATTTGGAATCTATTGCTGTGAACCTACATCATGCATTCAAAGGAGCTGTCCATGCAAGTGAAACAGGCCATTGTAAGGTTTCAAAAACTAAACAAATCCATCAGAGAGATAGCAGCAACATTAGGAGTGGCCAAATCAACAGTTTGGTGCATTCTGAGGAAAGAATAATGCACTGTTGAGCTCAGCAACATAAAAGGCATGGATGTCCACGGAAGATAACAGTGGTGGATGATCGCAGGATCCTCTCTATGGTAAAGAAAAACCCATTCACAACATCCAGACAAGTGAAGGATACTCTCCAGGAGGTGGGCGCATCATTGTCAAAGTTTACAATCAAGAGAAGACTTCACAAGAGCAAATACAGAGGGTTCACCACAAGGTGCAAACCATTCATAAGCCTGAAAAATAGAAAAGCCAGGATTAGACTTTGCCGAAAAACATCTAAAAAAGCCACACCAGTTCTGAAAAAGCATTCTTTGGATGGATGAACCTAAGATTAATCTGTACCAGAATGATGGGAAGAAAAAAGCGTGGAGAAGGCTTGGAACAGCTCATGATCCAAAGCACACAACATCATCTATAAAACATGGTGGAGGCAGTGTAATGGCATGGGTATGCATGGCTTCCAGTGGCACTTGGTCATTGGTGTTTATTAATGATGTGACAGAAGACAGAAGCAGCTGGATGAATTCTGCAGTGTTTAGAGATATACTGTCAGCCCAGATTCAGCCAAATGCAGCAAAGTTGATTGGACGGCGCTTCACAGTACAGATGGACAATGATCCAAAACACACTGCAAAAGCAACTCAGGAGCATTTGAAGGAAAATAAGTGGAATATTCTGCAATGGCCAAGTCAATCACCTGATCTCAACCCAATTGAGCATGCATTTCACTTGCTGAAGGTAAAACTAAAGGCAGAAAGACCCACAAAGAACAACTGAAGACAGCTGCAGTTGGAGCCTGGTAAAGCATCAGAAAGGAGGAAACCCAGTCTTTGGTAATGTCCATGGGTTCCAGACTTCAGGCAGTCATTGCCAGTAAAGGATTCTCAACAAAATATTACAAATGAACATGACTATATTAATTTGTCCAATTACATTTGAGAATGGAGGGACTGTGTATAAAAAGAGTTGCAGTTCCTTAAATTTGTACTTGATATTTATGTTTAACGCCTTGAATTAAAGCTGAAAATCTGCACTTCAAATTCATTTGTATTGTTTCGTTTTAATTTATTCTGGTGGCATACAGAGCGAAAAGTATGAAAATTGTGCCTGTGTCCAAATATATATGGACCTTACTGTATATATTTCTAAGGGGTGGGCATGTGTGTCTATATATATATATATATATATATATATATATATATACACACACTATATTGACAAAAGTATTGGGACATCTGCCATTACATGCACATGAACTTTAAATGGCATCCCAGTCTTAGCCCATAGGGTTCAGTATTGAGTTGGCCCACCCTTTGGAGTTATAACAGCTTCAACTCTTCTAGGAAGGCTGTCCACAAGGTTTAGGAGTCTGTCTATGGGAATGTTTGACCATTCTTCCAGAAGAGCATTTATGAGGTCAGGCACTAATGTCGTACGAGAAGGCCTGGCTCGCAGTCTCCACTCTAATTTATCACAAAGGTGTTCTGTCGAGTTAAGGTAAGGACTCTGTGCAGGCCAGTAAAGTTCCTCCACCCCAAACTCGCTCATCCATGTCTTTATGGACCTTGCTTTGTGCACTGGTGTGCAGTCATGTTGGAACAGGAAGGGGCCATCCTCAAACTGTTCCCTCAACGTTGGGAGCATGAAATTGTCCAAAATGTCTTAATATGCTGATGCCTTAAGAGTTCCTTTCACTGGAACTAAGGGGCCAAGCCCAACCCCTGAAAAGGAACCCCACACCATAATCCCCCCTCCAGCAAACTTCACACTTGGCACAATGCAGTCAGGCAAGTACAATTCTCTTGGCAACTGCCAAACCCAGACACGTCCATTGGATTACCAGACAGAGAAGCGTGATTCATCACTCCAGAGAACACATCTCCACTGCTCTAGAGTCCAGTGGTGGCGTGATTTACACTATTGCATCCAACACTTTGCATTGCACTTGGTGATGTAAGGCTTGGATACAGCTGCTCGGCCATAGAAACCCATTCCATGAAGCTCTCTATGAACTGTTGTCGTGCTAATCTGAAGGCCACTTGAAGTATGGAGGTCTTTAGCTATTGACTCTGCAGACAGTTGGTGACTTCTGTGCACTGTGTGCTTCAGCACGCGCTGACCCCGCTGTCATTTTGCATGACCTGCTACTTCGTGGCTGAGTTGGTGTTGTTCCCAGTTGCTTCCACTTTGTTAAAATACCATTAACAGTTGACCGCGGAATATTTGGTAGCAAGAAAATTTCATGGATTGACTTATTGCACAGGTAGCAACCTATCATGGTACCATGCTTGAATTCACTGAGCTCCTGAGAGCGACCCATTCTTTCTAAAATGTTTGTAGAAGCAGTCTGCATGCCTAGGTGCTTGATTTTATACATCTGTGGCCATGGAGGTGATTGGAACACCTGAATCCAATGATTTGGAGGGGTGTCCCAATATGTTTGGAATATAGTGTGTGTATATATATATATATATATATATATATATATATATATATATACTGTATATATATATATATAAAATTATATATTGTGATATTATGGTGAAGTACCAAACAAAAACAGTCCAAAACTCTGTTATACAGAAAACAAAGCTATGACTCAGTGCCAATATAAACTGGTCCCACACCAGGGTTTAGGGTTTCCCTCAGCACATGAGCCCAGGTAATATTTCAGTAGCTAGACAGTCACAACCCTATCACAACTGTTCTGCTCAACACCTCACAGGCATTTGATGACTGCTTTCTGCCCTTTTCAGCCCTCTCTTGCAGGTGGGTAAATCCTTTCAGGATCAAACTAGCCATATCCTAGATTGTAAGCTCGAAAGAGCAGGGCCCTCGAACCTCTCATATATTGTTTTGTTACTGTAGTGTCTCATGTACTGTCCCCCACTATATTCTACAGCGCTGAGCAAACTTTTTGGCACTATATAAACACTGTATAATAATAATTCAGGGTTGGAGGCTTATTCCCACCCAAAAACTCTCCAAGCCTCCAATTTCTGGGTCCCATACCAGGACTTAACAAAACAAAATCCTTGGAAACTATAAATTAGTTAGGGAATCTATAGAGATTCTATTTGCTCTAAAAAAACCACCAGACTTCCGGTGTTAAAAGATATGTTGCATCCCCCAATCCCCCACTTTGACAGCTAGCAAATAATCTTCTCCCTGCGCTAGATGTCACAATTTTAAAAAAACCACATCCGGCTCGGGCTCCGCCCACCAGTGTCACTAATTCACAGTGTTCTGTGAATGAGAAGCTACAAGTACTTGTAGTTTTCAATGAACAACATGGCGCTGTGAGCCCATTCTAGTTAATTGATTCTTCCTGTTAGTTAGCATCAGCTTGCCCGTATAAGGTACGAGCAAGCAGATTCACTGACAGATCTGCAGGAGTCCTGCATGGCACCAATGATCTTCTGATTGCTACTGCAATGCCTTCCAGGCTCCTACAACAAAAAATAATAAATGCATATTTTTTTACCTGCAATAGAATGTCAGTTTATTATTTTTTGTTGAAAGGTGAACTTATCCTTTAAGAACAAATGTATACGCATTTCCTCTGAGCATGGAGTTCCACTTTAAATTAAGTGAGCCAAGTAACAAATGAACACCCCATAAGATGACTATTGCTGGACTACCACCAGGTCCAATACTTTGCGTAAATGTTTCTGATGTGCACTAGGCTTTGTTGGCATTTATTTAAACAGTTTGATGAAATCCTTACCAATTGCTTTGCTAGTTACACATGTATGAAAAATTACAAGAGATAACTAGAGTAATATTCTTTAAGCTCGGCCTAATTCTCGTTAGTGTATATCCCATGTGCCAATTAGTGCTGACATGCCACTGAAAGGTCAGAGTAAACCATTGCATATTTGCGGCTTGTATGTATCTTTTTTGTACCTTAGTTTTACATACCAAAGATAATTAATGTTGTGCTCTTGTATACACTAAATGCTTTAGGCTTTATTATAAGCAGGGGATAAAATTCTCATACAAAAGGCCAGTTGGCAGCTCCGTTAACCAGATGAGCCAAGAAAACATAACTTGTATTCAGCTAGAGCCACATCGAAGCTGTGATCCATTCGGAAATATTTAGCCATATTTGCTTATTTTATTATTAAAAATGGGAATAATTGGAGCCATAAGGCATATAAAGTGTAAGTCATGCAGGAAAATCTGTGGGAAATGTTAAAAAATTGCTCATTAAAAAAGAATTATAGTCATATCAACAAATAAACAGTGTAAGCCTTAATTCAGTAATAAATGCCATAAATCAGATATCTTGACTTGGAACCTTCAAATTTAGTTTAAATGAAATGGCTGTAATGTAAACATATGTAGATGAAGGCTGTGATATTTTAGTCATTTAAAATGGAACTAACTGAAACATTAAACATTTTTAAAATATGTGGAAATAGTATCGGAAAGAGCAGTAGTATACACCACAGAATGCTAACCAGTGGTAAATATTCCCACAATATTCTTACAAGTTAAAGGAGAATTCCATCCTTTAAAAAAAATAAAATGATGCATGAACCCATTTTGCAAAAATAAAAAAATGTGCAATTTAGTTTTTTTATGCATTGGAGGCTGCAAAAGTTGTATCCGCAGTCAGTGTAGTGGTTCCAGTGATCACTGTTCTGGCTCCGCAGACTGGTCCATATCCAAGTTCAGATCTTAAAATGTTACTAAACCCACCACAGTAAAATCAGTCTGTATATGCAGTAAAGCATGCTTGTTATACTCAATGTGGAAACTAAAGGGTTAATCTACTGCATTGTGTAAAAATGCTGTTTGATTCTGACACCTCTGATCCTCCCCTTCTTCCAGTGTCCCCCTCTTATCTCCTGATAAGACGTATGTGTGGAGACATGACACTCTGCACATGCTCAGTTTGATGTGTATTGCTAGAGAGGTTTTTTTCTTTCTTGGGAGGGTGCATGTGATGAGCACAGGGCCAATCAGCACTGTGCAGGCAGAGGTCAGGGGTTTGCATCCTCCTAGAGCAGAAAGAAAACTCCTACAAGCTTTAACCAGTGCTCTGCTGAACACTGATAGAAGTCACAAGACAGCTATAATTGGTGATGAAAAAAGGTATTTAGCAGTTTATTTTTACTAAATTAATTGCATTTACATGTTCTGTGTACTGTGAGAAACCAGATATAGTGAATGCAGGATCCTGGGTTTAGTAACAGTTTAAGCTTTGGAGCTGGAGGAAGTATCAATGGACTACAAATGCAATGTCACCACATTTGTACTCTATTGAGAACTACAAATCCCTCAACTGCGAAGAATCCCAAGGTCCTATAAAAAGGGGGGGGGGGGGCTATACTCAATTGTGCATGCTGACCATTGTTCATTCCACACCCTAAATATCAGTGTTGCATGTAACATGGTCAGAAAGATATGAACATCAAGGGATACTTGAGATACTGTGAGGTAACTGTGATGATCGCGGCGTCAGACCCCAGCCCTTCTCACTAAACTTGTGACCGAAGGACTAGGCAATCTAAAACCGCACTGTCACATGCGTAACAATGCCATACCCAGCTGCACTCCGCACAAAGATTTTCCAGCTAATGGACCACAATCTGTGTATTTGCAGCCTGGGAGCAATTGTTACTGGGTCAGGTTAACTACTCAATTAACCCTTCACACTGCCACCACCTCCTTTTTTTATAGAGAAAGAGGAAACACAGCAATATCAGCAATAACACTATGATGTTTGCATAAGCGTCGGTATACCACTGTCACCACAGGCAGAGAGATATACAGAAGTTTAAAACACACACATAATAGCGCTCTTCAGAGGCAGGGATTCTTAGTTTGCATTAAAGAGCTTTAGAAACAGTTCAACACTTTCAGAAAGTAAGATTTATTACTAAACGGTCAAAAAGGTGCAATAAAAATATTTACAGAAAAGATGTAGCCAATATATATATATATATATAAATACAAAGGGCAATAACACAGCAAAGAGATAACAGAAAGCAATTTAGGGAGGTAAAGTACTTGCCAAACATCCTGGTTTAAGCAGATCAGGTTTCAGAGCCAAAAGGATGCCTTATCTCCCAAAGTTAGTTCCGATGTTAAAAGGGAGCTTCTTCAACTTAACTTAACTCAGCTCAGCTTTTTATAGGAACTCAGCAGGGTGTCTCCTTAAAGCAGAGAGCCAATCGCCTCATTTGGGGAGGGGTGTTGGGGCGGAGACCCGAGCTATAACCAAAAACTCTCGCAGTTGATGTCATGGTTCATAACTTATTCTCGGTGCATTTAGCAGCCTGGCCACTAGTAGAGTAATATGCAGACGCATCTGCTGAACGGTTAGATATGAAATATGACATACCTGCTTGGATGGTTAAGGAGATATAATTTTCTGCTCTCCTGTATATGCCAGCTAGGGGGTGTAATATATAAGGTGAATTGTATTAAAGTGAGCCGTCCGAATATGTGCTCCATGTTTATGTAATTATGTCTTATTTGAAGATATAAAATTATATGGAAAAGTGAGTTTTTAAATGTAAGTCTGTTTTACGACTACCTGGAATGTCTTTGAAGCTCAGTTAGGGCTTGGTTTATGGTTTTATGATACCTTCGCCAGCAAGAGTCTCGCAAACATAGGGGCACCAGATAGTGTGGGATTTATAACCATGACGCCCTCCCAATGAGTTTGCTGCCTGTGATCTGCGTCAAACAGACCACATGTCACTCAACAGAGAGGAAGGGGGGATGAGGAAAGCTGATTTGGGAGTAGAAATGATACAAGATGGAAGATCCTTTGCCAAAATGGAGGTTCACATCCATCTTGTGTGTGCACGTTTGCTACAGTAACCAGCATAGGACAATACTTACTAAACATTTTATATGTAAAATATCAGAAAATATTTACAGAGCTATTTGTTCTGTGAAATGGTATATACACTTGTTCTGTGCAAATAGGGAAAAATTAAATGTATTGAGGCTAGTTTCTCTCTAGGTTGGATCTTACTAAGTCCTAGAGAATAGAGTGAATCAGGAAAATACTGCATTATAGCCACCAGATCATGTTCATAAGAAATAAATACTTATTTACTGTGAGAATCAGTTCATTCTAGTGACAATGATGCAATAATTGCAATATTTTCAAAACAATTCCATTTTTTAATGAATGAATAACCTTTGATCTGGAGTAAAAATAGCTTACTAACATTCAATTGTGCCCATATTCGCATAGAACAAAATGTACATGCAGTTTCACAGGACAAATAGCAGGGTTTTTTTAATAAATACACCCCTAAAACTGAACCCTAGGCAAAAAAGCTAAATACAGTTGGAATGTATAGGAGTAATTTTACCTTCCAAAGGATTTATATTTCTATCTATGCAAGCCTGAGATTTGCACTGCCCAGATGGACAGCAGAACTGAGCTTGGGACCTGACCT